TGGTGGCACAGTGGTTAAGTGCTCGGCTGCTAACTGAAAGGTCAGTGGTTTGAACCCACCAGCAGTTCCACAGGAGAAAGATGTGACAGTTTGCTTCCGTAAAGATTACAGCCTTGGAAACCCTAAGAGGCAGTTCTACTCTGTCCTATAGGGTTGCTATGAGTAGAAATTGGCATGATGGCAATGGGTTTTTAGGAGGGGAGATACTGTTTCTTAGAATTACTTGAACAGTTAAAAAAAAAAAAAAAAAAAAAGCTATATTACCATTAACAATGCCTTAAAAGTTCTCAGAGCACTTGCAAAGACATTATCATATAAATAAAGAAAATAAGGGATGCATACTATGTGGATCTATGGAACACTTATCTTGGAAGAACATTAAGTATTCAATTTCTGACACTAAATTTATCCTTCCTATTGGTATGTTCCTTTACATTCTGTTATGGACTGAATTGCGTCCCCCCAAAATGAGTATCAACTTGGCTGGGCCATTATTCCCAATACTGTTTGATTTTGTCATCCGATGTGATTTTCCTGTGTGTTGTGATTCCTACCTCTATGATGTTAATGAGGCAGGATTAGAGGCATTTATGTTAATGAGGTAGGACTCAATCTACAAGATAAGGTTGTGTCTTAAGTCAGTCTCTTTTGAGATATAAAAGAGAGAAGGGAACAGAGGCCGGGGAACCTCCTACCGCCAAGAAACCAGTGCTGGGAGCACAGCGCATCTTTTGGACCCGGGGCTCCTGGGAGAAGCTCTTAGACCAGGGGAAGATTGATGACAAGGACCTTCCCCCAGAACCGACAGAGAAAGAAAACCTTCCTCTGGAGCTGGTACCCTGAATTTGGACTTGTAGCCTACTAGACTGTAAGAGAATAAATTTCTCTTTGTTAAAGCCATCCACTAACTAAGACACCTTCCATAATATCTTCAGATCAGTTCCTTAAAAAATGTTAGCTCATTTTCCTCAACTTCCTCTTCTTGACTTTTCCTCTCATTTTTTAAATTTTTGTCCCTGAAAGGCAATACTGCAGAGGGGTGTGAGTTTGTAGTCAGCACGACCTGGATTCAATCTCTCGGCTCCATGAGTTACTTGCTGTGTGACTTTGCCCACATTTCCTCATCTGTAACCAGGGGTGAGAACAAAATCATACATGTTGCCACAAATGTAAACCACTAGTGCTCATGAAACGGTAGCATTTCTGATTCTTAAACTACAAAGCTGAGGAGCCTCTGACTAACACTATATAAGCTGTTTATGGCATAAACCCGATTTATGAACTATTTCACAGGCTTTTGTTTCAGAGCTCACTGTGAGAAGACATCCATCTAGAACAGTGGCCTGCAAGCTGTTTACAGGGTATGGTCCAGCTGAAAAGGTACTTGGCAATCATGTCTGCTGAGGTCATAATTCCGGTCTATGAAATCAAGTGCCGAGGAGGCAATTATGATGCCAAAAATACAGCTTGACTTCCAAGCAGGCTCAAATGCTTGGAACAGATAAAACCACCTTCTTTGAATTAAGTCTTGGTTAAAACTTAAATACCTTGAGGAATTATCTAATACCGTAAACAAAATCACAAAAGACAGGAAAGAAGAAAAAAATTCATATTTAAATGTAAACTTAATCATTTCCTTCCATGTTTAATGGTTAAATTATAGATTTAAAGTTTTAGAGTCCGTCATTTTTTGCTGTGGCAAACTGGACCCCCAGAAGATACACTGTTTGGATGTAAAAGTCAATGACACAAAGTAACACCCGGGGTAATAGACAGGGACTGCCTCAAGCCATTAGCACGACTCTTACTGAACAGTTTATCCCAATGGATGTGCAGCATCTCCACTCATAAGCTGTCAACTTGAAGCTCCAGGAAAAAGAGAAATACTAGAGCAATTTGATATTATAATACAATATTAATATGCTCATTACCATCAGAAAGGCTATCAATTAGTGGTGAAAACTTGCTTACAAGTAATGCAAAATCTCTTCTTTGGGAAGGGAAATATTTCAATTCCCTTAAGTGATACTTAACACATTTTCTTGAATTTCTGAAGTCTTCTTCTGTTTTCTTTATACTATATGAACTTTAAAAACTACTTTTTTAGCTGTTTATAAAGTTTTGAATCATGCTTGGTAAAATAGGGGTCAGCGAAAAAGAGAAAGACCTTAGTGAGATGGACTGACACAGTGGCTGCAACAATGGGCTCAAGTATAACAACGACTGTGAGGATGGCACAGGACCAGGGGGTGTTTCCTTCTGTTGTACATAGGGTCACTATGAGTCAGAACTGACTCGAAGGCACCTAACAACAACAAAGTTTTGAAAAAGGCATTTCTTCTTTCTAGTCCAATTAATCAAAGGCAACTTCAACTTTGAATTTTTTAAAATTATGACCCTTCCAAAGAGCTTACCCTAAGGTAAGAAATAAGGCGTGAGCAACCTTAAAAAATATTTCACTGTATCAAAGGGTTAACAAAATCACCTAAAATCCCACTATCAAAAACAAAAATAAAAACATTCATGCCTAAAATGAAAAAAGCCCAACTGATTTTATAGCCAAAAGCAATGATCTACTTTGCTTAGTTAATAACTAATCACTAGTACTCGATCTTGGGGTTAACATTTTCTTATAAGGAAACATGCCTCTGGAGAAATGGTACCTCTCTTTGCCTGGAGCTGTCTCAGGAATTCACCCTTCTCAATTCTTCTGTGAGTGCAAAATCCTACAGTGTCTCAGAATAGATTTTTGGGGCCAAATGAAATTAATGATAAAAACCGCTGTTCTGGGTGGGTTTGAAATATGGTTACTGTTTTTAGTGACGGATGCTTAAAAATTATTTGGTTTTGGTTAGGTATTACACAAGCATAATACTGACTGGTGGATTAGCAGAATTTGGTGTGGTGTGGGGTTCAATTTTTTTATGCTTGAGATCTTACACAGTGATGGGGTTTTGGATGAAGGTTGCATTCTTACTGTTAAAAATGTTGGGTATCCCTCGGATGAGATGGAATGCCTCCGTGAGATCAGATGTTATGGTAAGGGCAAAAACATCACCAGCGTCCTGGCTTCTTGGTGTCACCTCAAGCACACTTGGTGAACTTGGAGGGAAATGGAAGAGCTGGAAGTACCTTAAAGGTTAACTAGTTTGAAGAATGTGGACCCCACAGATTCTTGTGATGGGCTGGCGGCCTGCAAGGACGAAAGTAGGTTCACTACAGCACAGAGCAGAGCAGTGCTGACACCAACTATGTGCCAGACTTAAAACAGCACCTACTGCCTGTAAGCTGTTGCCCTGGAGTTGATTCTGACTTATGGTGACCCTGTGCGTTACAGAGTAGAACTGCTCTGTAGGGTTTCTCGACTGTAATCTTTACGGAAGCAGGTCGCCATGCCTTTCTTCTGCGACACCGCTGAGTGAGTTTGAACTGCCAATCCTCAAGTTAGTAGAAGACGGCAAACTGCGCCACCCAAGGACCTTGCTGCATGTAAAAATCTCCATAAAACTGCTGAATTAGTACATGAGACTGCTCCATGGCATCTCAGGCCTCATCTGGAAATTTCTCCAAGGCGAGAGCCTTGCCTTTCCCCCGCGTCCTTTAACAGCCCTATGGCTGAACCCCCAGCAACCTAGGGTAAGCCAGGTCCATGGAAATCTTAGCTCCGGTGTCTTTGTCGGCTTCCCCTCGCCGCCAAGGAGGCCTCACTTACACAGGTTGCGCGACTCAAGGTCGCAAGCCGGGAAACTCAGCGTCCCGGCCCCCAGTCCTCTTTCCACAGCCCTCGAAAATCGTGAGCAACCGTATGGCTGCCTGGGCTTCTCCGCGGACGCTTACCTAGTTTCGAGATCGGTCTCCCGTCCCCGGTTCTGGGGAAACCAGCATCCCGGCAGAAGAGGGAAAGAAAGCGCGCTCCCAGGTCTGCGCACGCGTCGTACTCTTTCCGCGGCTTCCCTCACTTACCGTAGCCTCATTTTTACAAACTGCGCATGCGGGAAGCTGATGCTGCTTTCCGCGTGACAGCAGGCGGGTCCCAGAGAGCCAATCAGAAGCGAGAAATTGACAGCAGCCCCACCCCCTCCAAGTCACAGGCGTCGGACTGCGGCGAGGGAAAGTGGGGTCGTGGTTCGCTCCGCGGTCCAGCTGTCTCCACCCTCTTCCCAGCAGCCAATCGCAGGCAAGACGCCGGGCGCGCGCACGTTCCCCTGAGTTTAACGGTCGCGAGAGGCCGGTCGCCCGACCCTGATGTCGGCAGTGGGAGCGGCGGCCAGGTAAGCGGCCGCCAGCCTGCGTGGGGCTGCTGGTGGCGGGGGAGAGGGCACGAGACTTAGAAGACGCTGTCTTGGCGGACCCCTGAATATGAGACTTGGATAGGGTGAGGGGAGACGGCGAACCCACCACCTCAACCCACGGGAGCCCGCTGGCGTGTGGGGGCTTTGACGGCTGCCGGGCGCCTTTCTAGACTCGGTGTCCTTGAGTGACACCCGCGCCGACCAATGGCAGAGCGCTTCTTTCCGAGAGGCGGGAGCTTGCGGGATTCTTTTTTTGGATGAGATTCCATCGCTCACTTTTAGAATCAGGGTGTGTTTGAGTTAGGGGTTTCCTTTCGTCCTCCCTGCTGTCTATAGCTTAGGCGACTGCGTAGGTTCGCCGTCGCCTTCCCGCTTGGGTCGCATAGCCCCTGAGGTCCGGTTGTGAGCGCCAGAACGTCGGGGTCCGGCCTCAGGACCTCTGAAATCATCCCCCCTTTCTCCCTCGGGCTCCCAGCAAAGCAAAACCCCTAGTTAACTTTTATTTTATTGGCGGACCCCGATCTGTCGTTCCCTTTTAACAACTTCATTTTTTGCTAGGGGCGGGGGGGCGGGGCCCCAAAACGTCAGACTTTGTCCCTTGGAAATACAAAAACGTCTCTGTTCCTGCATTCATCTGCACAAAGGTGTTTTTTTTGCATTGAACGTGAGTTCCCTCCCCCGCCCCCCCAATTTTACCCTCCTCGGGCAGGAGAAGCATCATTGAATTTCGAGCGGTTGTCCATTTGAATCATCCGTATCCGGATTACCTCAGCGGGGAGATAGTAGATGGGTCTGCAGACCCACCTCCCTGGAGAGCTGGTGTTTTCCTGGTGTAAAAGTAAGGTGATTGGAATCCAGATATTTTTGTTGCCGGCTGGAAGGTGCAGCCCCTGACTTTTCAATACCCCATTTGTTGTTGGTGATGGGCTGAGCCACTGGGGAGCAATCCATTGAGTTAGATCTGGTTTCCCTGAAGGAAGTGGGTCCTTTATGGCCCAACGCTTTTAATTAACCTCGTGCTTTGTGAAAATGGGCCCCAGAAAAGTGGGAACCTGGAGGACCCAGAAGAGTAGACCATTCTCCTCTATTGCACTCTCAAAAGTTTTCATTTTGTAAGCAGTATACGTATGCTTTTTCTTTGTTCTTTTTCTCCTGCTTCCTGGCTCTTTTTTAAATACATGAAATTAAGGAGGCAGAGGGTTTGACTTGATACAGCCAGTTTGCCTTTGCACACCCACCTTCAGTAAAATCTGAGCTGATCTGGCAAATAGTTTATTTTTTAAGTAATACACGCATAGAGAACGAAAAGATACACACACACATATGTAGTGCAGTATGTGTTCCACCCCTGCCAAGGGGGAGGCAACCATTGTTAACAGTTTAATTCACTTGTTTTTAATACCACATTAAATACTGTGTAGTTCTCATTCATCTGTCCACTGTATAAATCATCAAGCATGGATGTTTGCAGGAACTTACTAAACAACAAGGCATGTAAATATTCCAATTGTTACGTAGAAGGATTTTGCCTAGAACTTTGATTATTAAGTACGTAAAATTCTGACATATTATCTGAAAAGGATAATGCTATTTTTGCAGATCATCCTTAATATATAATTCACATATCATAATATTCACCCTTTAAAAGTATGCAATTCAGTAGCTTTTAGTATATTTGCAAGGTTGTGTGGTTATTGCCACTGTCTATCTAGTTCCCTTTTCATCCACCTAAAAGGAAACCCTGTATCCATTAGCAGTCACTCCCCATTCTCCTTTCCCCGCAGTTCCTGGTAACCACTACCAGTAATCTATTTTCTGCCTTCATGTACATTTGCCTATTCTGGAATCTTGATGTAGATGGAATTATGCAATATGTAGTCTTTTAGGCTGGCTTCTTTTCACCTAGCATCATGTTTTCAGGCTTCATGCACGTTGTAGCGTGTATCAGTACCTTGTTCCTTTTCATGACTGAATAATATTCCTTCGGATGAATATACCACATTTGTTTATCCATTCATCAGTTGATGGATATTTGAGTTGTTTTTACATTTTGGCTATTATAAGTAATGTTGCTATCCTTAATGTGGATTTGTATGAAAGAAGTCAGAATCTCCAAAGTCGTGAAAAGACAGTTGCTCGGTTTAGTGGGTTTTTATAGTACTTTTCCTCATTCATTTTTCAGACTCTCTTGGAAGCATAGGTTTTCATGATTCTGAATGTTAGCCGCTGAAAATGCCGGTAGACAATGAAGCATCTGAAGATGACTCGGATTCAGTTCCTTCAAACAGTGCGAGAACCTGTATTTTCAAATAAGAAAGTATAACAATTTCTTTACACTATGGAAGATTTTGACTTGGTGAAAACTTTACAAAAGACTTCTCCATCTTCTGTAGAATCTGATGTACAAAATTCTCCCCATTTTCTGGGTCTGAACTTAAATACTAATAGGTAAGAATGAGATAGATATTATTTAATGTAACAACAAATCAGAAGAACTTTATTGGCATAGTTTACCAATTCATCCAAATAGTGTCATAGTTACTGATTTGCATTAAAAAAAATTATTATCAGGAACTGTTCAGGGACAGTTATTTAAGTTAAGAATAGTTTTTGCCCCTCCGTGTTTTTGATTTCTCCCAGAGAGATGTATTTTTACAGAGGAAACATTGTGGAAAATATTTGTTTTGCTAGTTGTAGTTTATTTAAACTTCTTTTTTTTTGGTAAAATTACAAGCGTATCATTGAAATTTAGTTGCCTTAATGTTATTTCTACATTTTTAAATTAATAGTACAATAATGTGTTATAGAAATACCTCAGCAATCTGGAAAATAGCAATTAAAGTTGAATACTAGGAAGTAAGCAAAAAACAGATTCTGAGTCGACAAAGCAGATGTTATCAAACAATGCATTTTATTTTTAAGCTACCCGTGGTTTCTTTTTAATGAGACCCTGTTAACTCTCATTTTGTATGTAGTCTCAAAAGCTCAATAGTTTGGTTTCTAAATTTATGAGTAGCTAAGAAGCAGCAAAGAGGTAGGGACCATTTGAGGGGAGATCAACTTTAAAAAGCAAGTACAAGAAAGCAAAAACAGCAGTCTGGGGCCTGCTGGTAAAGGGGCAGATACCTTTGTACACAATAGGCCTTGAAGAAATTGTATATTATGAATCAGTTAATTAATCACTTAAAAATTTTGTTCGTTCTCTACCCTCCTCAGGAAGAATTTAAGATAGCTTGCAAAAATACATCAGACAAGAAAGCATAAATTAAAGTAGCATGAAAGGGAAGAAAAGGGTGGAAAATGGTTCACAAGCTATGCCAGCCCCACTCATCTACAGTGAAACCTTTGAGAGCCGGAACTCGGCAGACTGCTTTGTTTTTCCAGGTCTCTAAGGTTTTCTGCCTTTGACAGGGTGCAGTCTTAGCACTTTCCTATTGCTCTCTGTTGGTGGAAAATATTTGCGTTTTCCTTCTCTGGCAGGTATCTGGCTTACATGGGTTCCGACTTTTGCAAGTTTTACTGTATATGCATTTGCTGAAAGTTGGCCATGCATTTTGTCTGCTGTTATCACTTGGTGGCCCCTTGAATCTCACTTCTAGAAGAAATTCCTTTTAGAACATAGTGTTCGATTTGCCTGGAAGAACCTAAAGGTGCCTTTCTCACGAGAATTATGTAATTGAACTTGTCTTTTTTTCCATTGTGACTGGAATTAAGTCAGCTAAATTAAAACTCATTATTACAACTTCGTAAACCCCTTATGGACTATATGTCATATTCTTCTTCCCCCTGAATTTTATTAGTATTTTATCTGCTCCTAATTCTTTATTATTTTACTGTGGTTTTCTTTAGTGTTCTCTTTTATTTTATTTTTTTTAAAGATTCTTTGTTAAACAAAGCAGAGAATCAATAAATAAATGAAAATGACCTTTCGGTGATTAGAATTTAAACAAGTCTTAATGCCCTTACTTATCCTCTGTGTTTTTCTAAAATGAACTGGAAACAAACTCATCTCAAGTTTGGAGAAGTAACCCTTGTGGGAAGAATCAGTGCTATTTTACACTTTAAATAGACTAAACAATTCCTGAATCTTTGTTGCTAATTCGCTTGGCACAACATTTATTCAGAGATGGTGCAGAGATACGCTCAGCTTATCACGCCAAGTTAGGAGGATTCAGTTAACATTCTGTGCAGTAGAAAAAGAATCCCTCCTATAATAAAGGGCTGTTCTTAAAGTGAAAGAATCCTCTGGAATAATTTAGAACTTAGAAGCTGGAAATTTTTCTTACACTTGTAGCAGAAATTTTTTCATTTTCTGTTGGTACTTTACTGTGCTCTCTCACTTTTGGGGAAGTTCTCCCTGTTTTGTTCTTTAAAAAAAAAAAAGTGCTATCTGTCTTTTTACTGCTGTTTCTCTCTTGTGGACAAACTTGTGATGAGATTTTCAACAAATGAGGTGCCATTAGGTGGGATTATATATCAGTGGTTTTGTACTGCTCTGCTAAATCTTGAACTGCTGAATTATTCAACACTTTGGTTGAATGAAGAAAACCATTTGAATTATTTATGTTTCAACAGAAGTAGTCCCCACCTTAGTACAAATGGGGTATCCTCTTTCTCAGGGAAGACCAGACCATCTGTAATTCAAGGTACAGTTGAAGTCCTAACCTCTTTAATGCAAGAGCTGCAAAACAGTGGAAAGACTGATCCGGAACTTTGGAAAACCTGTGAGGTATCTAGTTTTGTTTTATGTTTGGAATTGTAAAATAATTATATTTAAAAGTACCTCTACTAAATTCTAAATTATTAGAAATTTATATTCTAAAGAGCATTATACTTAATTTATTGTTAAAGTAAGGTGGTCAAATATATTAATTGGGGAGCCATATTGAATGAATATAAAAAAGATGGTTTAAAGTATGTTTTAACATTATTAGTGGTTGGACATACTAATTTGTATATTAAATGTGAAGTAAATGTTGTCTTTGTTCAGAGAACTAGGAATCCCAAAATTATTAAAATTACTACTAATTTTAATGTTTTAAGTAACTACTATGGAATTGTGACCGTTTTGAAACACCAGTATCCCCAATGAAATATTTTGAATGCTTTAATTATATATTAAGGCTTCTAGTACCTTATATCAGTACCTTACCCATTTAGCTGTGACACATTGTGTCTATTGATTTTTTTAGGTCAGCAATTCTGCAGTCCGTAGGTTACATTCGGATATAAAAAATTTAACGGTAAAGGCTATTTATAGATAAATTTTACTTCATAGAAGAATGCCCAAAATAGACTTTCCCAAGGCAGATTTGATAATGCATTATTGAAATGTATTAAACATTATTAAACTCCTTATTTAGAGAGCAGTAGATTTGGTTTTAAATGTTAATCATACTTTTAAAACCGTAATTTGTGTGTTTTTTCCCAGAATAATGAATAAATGGATTCAAAGATTACCTGTTTAAAAATTCAGTAGCACCCCTGAGTGTAATTACTTATATTTATTACCCACATTATTGAGGTTATAAAAATGACTGAATATTATTGCAAACTTAAAAAAATAAGGAGTTTTAAGTTTTTATGTTTTTTTCCACATAATCAGTATATCTAATATGAAACTATTTTGAAATGATGCAGTTAAAAATGGAATGTTTCATTACATTTTCCCCCAATATGCCTATTCCCTGGCTATAATACATGAATTAACATGCTTTTAAAAAAAAAATGAGACATTGCCACAGTGTAGCCTAACTTCTGGCAAATTAGTGTTTAACTGGACATGGTTACTTTTCATACCTTGAAATCAGCATCTTAAAATCAGAATACATTTGTGAATTTAAGATACAGACTATCATAAACCAGAATACACACCAGATTCTTACACCTTGTCACATTTGACCCTGGTTTGTTCATTTGTCCATTTTTCTTTACCTGTGATGTGACGGATCATTATATTTATTAATAACTATTTAATTTTTATAATCTGGACATGTAATTGATTATTCAGTGAAGAGCTGCTTAAGATATTTCTTACTTTGACAGAATATGAAACATTAAAAAAAAAAAAAACATTGCTGTCGAGTCAATTCTGACTCATAGCGACCGTATGTAACAGAGTAGAACGGCCACGTAGGGTTTCCTAGGCTGTAATCTTTGTAGAAGCAGACAGCCACATCTTTCTTCGCAGGAGAAACCACCAGCCTTTCAGTTAGCAGCCAAATACTTAACCACTGTACCACCAGGGATCCTTTGTATGAAACATACTTCTGGCCAGTTCAGTAAAATTTCTTGAATTTATTTAGCATGTTTTTATAGCATATGAAAACAAACAAAAACATCCTCTGACATTTTAGTGTAGTGTTTTAGAAAGAATTGGGGAGGGGGGTGGCTGTGTTTTAAGGATCATGGGGGTCTGTTTCTGACTTTTTTACCTAAATTTCATGTTTTCGCCTCCCTTTTGGAATCGTTACGTTTGTTCTGATTTCTACGAATTTTGAGGGTGTACTGTACATTAGGAGCCCTGATGGTGTAGTGGTTAAGAGCTCAGCTGCTAACCAAAAGCTCAGCAGTTCGAATCTACCAGATGCTTCTTGGAAAGCCTATGGGGCAGTTCTACTCTGTCCTGAAGGGTTGCTCTGAGTTGGAATCGACTTGATGGCAGTGGGTTTGGTGTTTTTTTTTTTTTTTTTAGTGTACATTAATGATATTGTTCAAGAATTTCCGCATTCTGTTGGCTCACCTTTCTTTGGAGTAGGCATAAATATGGATCTCTTCCAGTCATTTGGCCAAGTAACTGTCTTCCAAATTTCTTGGCATAGACGAGTGAGCACCTCAAATGCTGCATCGGTTTGTTGAAACATCTCAGTTGGTATTCTGTCAATTCCTGGAGCCTTGTTTTTCACCCATGCCTTCAGTGCAGCTTAGACTTCAGTTCTTGAGCATATGCTACCACTTGAAATGGTTGAACGTCGACCAATTCTTTTTGGTACAGTGACTCTGTATTCCTTCCATCTATCTTCTTTTGATTCTTCCAGCATCGTTCAATATTTTGCCCATAGAGTCCTTCAGAATTGCAACTTGAGGCCTGAATTTTTTCTTCAGTTCTTTAAGGTTCAGAAATGCTAAGCATGTTCTTTCCTTTTGGTTTTCTAACTCCAAGTCTTTGCACATTTCATTATAATACTTTAGTTTGTATTCTCGAGCCACCCTTTGAAATCTCTTCAGTTTTTTTACTTCATCATTTCTTCCACTTGCTTTAGCTACTCTACGTTCAAGAGCAAGTTTCAGAGTCTCTTCTGACATCCGTTTTGGTCTTTTCTTTCTTTCCTGTCTTTTTAATGACCTCTTGCTTTCTTCATGTATGATGTCCTTGATGTCATCCCACAACTCGTCTGGTCTTC